ATGAAAAAGTACCTACGCCAAAACCCGCGGCTGGACCGGTCGTCAGTCTCAACCACCAACCCCCTCGTACCACGACCCCGTAAATGTACCATGGTCCCCCTCATATAACAAGCACTGAACAACTGCAAGAGGTGATGGACCGTAACGCTACACCCCGCCAACTCCGCATACGTAGTTAACAACCGGAGCATCTTCAGCGTGTACGGTGTAAGCTGAGCCGGGCAGACATTATAAAACCGGCAAAACTCCTCCGCCAACGGAAAGAGGGGAAGGTTGTAGCCAATCGTGAACGAGTATTCATAAAAGGCGCAAAATCCCGGCAACGGTCACAAGATCCTTCCCAGCAGGAATCATCTCTACGAATGCCGGTACATTATACTTAACGCGGAGATCATCCAGATGGTTCTGCAACGACTTGGAAATCTCAGGGACCGGAGTGGCGGAATCCTTACTAAAATCATTCTGTGATGAGGTGCGTTGAGGCAGCAGTGCCTCCACGGTTAGAGGACTCATATCCTCTTCTCCCTCCGCCGCACCGTAATCAGAAGGCGAGGGCGGATTCAATGGTGCAGCTGCCGGAATCATCTCATCGCCGCGGCAAGGTTTAGGCATGGTGGTGATAACGGAGGAAGATCTACGCACGATATAGGGAAGGGGATTCTCGCTCAAGAAAAACGCACCGGAAAAAGGAAATATATCCTAGGAAGGGAGTGCAAGTAGTCAAAAGTTCCGGTTAAGTTAAACCCCTCCCCTATTTATAAGGATTGGGAAGCGCAAGAATCGAAGAGTCAGAATTTGAACCAGCGCGGGAAACCAAGCACCGGAATTGCTGAGTTCCTACCTCGAGAATATGCGTAATGATGACATCTGCAGTTGTCGACGTCACATCAGGGAAGGCGCCACGCCTTGACGGCCTGACTGTCATGATGACTGCCTCCTATATTTCACGTCACGGTCCCCTGGCGGGGTCAAACTCCCTAAAGAATGAGGGCATCAATTCCGCCCATCAAGGACGTATCGTACTGCGACCTCGACGAGCGGAGGGACTAACTGTATAGGGTCGAGTTTGACCAATCCCGTCCTCAAAATGGACACGACCTGTCGTGTGGACAAAGGTCGGGCCCAAGGGACGACCATGTAATCACGTCGGCCCCTCTGTAACGTGCACTTTATCTTTAGTTTATATATTTTATCTTTATATCGTAAATAGGAAAAAAGGGGAAATCCCTCCGCTATATAAGGGGGGTTCCCAACTGTGTAAAGGTGGGATTTTTTTGGATCAATAACATTTCTACTTACTCTCTCTATCTCTCTGTCTCAATTTCTATCTCTCTCTTTCTCTGAAAAACAGATACCTCGGATCTTTGTAACATTATCACGCAACTTTGTCCTTTAATTGCTCCGAATCACCAGACCACAAAGGATTACTCATACTCTAGTGTCGATTATCTTTGATTACGATTTACCTCTTCTCCATTTATTTGATTGATTTGCTTAAACACTGTTCGTTAACATTTTAAGCCAAACAAAAATCATGAGTGATAATGTTTAAAATTTTGAGGTAAAAAAGTTATTTTCTTTGTAGTTCAAATTTATATGGATAAATTTACTTGTATTCCCTTCGTTCATTTTTACTTGTACACTATACTAAAAATATATTTTCACCTTTACTTGTTCACTATACTAAATCAAGAGAAAGATAATCTTTTTTTTCTTTATGTTTTACCCTTATCATTAATTATTCATTCCCCAAATCATTTTTCAAGACTTTTGAAAATGCTATAATTATTATGTATAAAATTATAAAATATATATATTTTATTTATTATTTCTTAGTGAGAAGTCTAAAATGGACAACAAAAAGTGAACGGAGGGAGTACATAATTTAGCGAAAAGTAACAAACATTTGATAAAGTAGTTAAAGTGCTTACCAACTAATCCAGACACCAATTTATTAAATAATAATAATAATAATAATAATCTATTTATATATAAAAGGAGAAGCAAATCCATAATATTATGCCAAGTGTCATCACAAAATATTGACATGTGTCATGTTTTTAGACAAAACTCCAATAAATTTGGAGATTTAAAAAAAATCAAAAAAAATTAAAATAGAAAAAAAATTACAAAAATTTTAAAGAACTAACCAATTCAGTTATTCAATCATGGAGTCCCACGTTTTTGAGCACATCTTTTGTAAAACTGAAAAGTAAAAAAAAAATTACTCCAATTCCAAAAAATGGACCCACGTTTTTTCATAAGTTTTTTTGTTTAATTTATTTTAAACCTAAAAATTCGACAATTTTTTTTACATTGAAATAGTAATAAACAAAAGAAAAAAAATACTCCACGACCGTCTATTCAAGAAAATGGAGTCCCACATTTTTTTATTAGTTTTTTATTTAATTTATTAGAAATAGGAAGAAAGGAAAAAAATCACTCCACATGGTCTTCCCAAACGTGGGCATCAAAACCTAACTCCACCAGCTGTCTCCTAATGTCCCAAACGTCTCTTCCTCCTTTTATTTTATTTTTCATTCCTTTTTTATACAGAACTTTACAAATATGGCTACAACACTTCATGAAATCAGTCAAATTTTAAGCAATTCGATGCAATGGAATCTGTAAGTGAGAGTTGTTCTAATGTGAAAAATTCCGGATCGTTTCAAGCCTCATATACCATATTTCATAGAGTTAATTTTGCAAGATGAAAAGGTAACATATTCAACTTTCATGTAGTTATTAAGTAAATCCTCTTCTCTGCCGTTTGATTTCATAAATTTTTCTTATTTTCAAATACATGAAAATGTACTATTGAAACTATTATATATATTACCTGTTTTGCTCTTTCATGTTAATAATATTCTGATTATTTTTTTCGTTTACAAAGATAATCCAAAAAAAATCATGTTACATGATCTTTTAATTTTAAGGTTATTGTTAAGGAAAAAATTTCGGTAATCGAATTTTCTTGGCTCTGTAATATCTTATGCATCACTATATTCTGAAAAAATTACTACTTATTGTAGTCAGTAGGCAACATGCCGCGAAAATCATATATGAGTTCTGGAACTAGACAATTTTGTCCTTTGTTCATTGGTTGTAGTTTGAATAGTTAGTAGGAGACTTTGTTTGTGGAGTCATTTTTGGAAGAAAAAAATAGTGATTTCAGATTTTGTTTATGCAATTTTATGTCACAGAGGCTTATTGCACGATGCTCTTACTTAACTTGCTAAGTCTGGTATGAATTCTTTTTGTTCCACATAGCCTCAAAGTTCTAAGACCATTTATATAAATTGTTATTTCATTGATATGGAATGAACCATAGCAATTAGTATAGTTTACCTATAGTGAATCTTTGTACTTAATAGCATCTATTATGTTCAAAGTAAATCTCTGGCAGATATTATATATGGGCGGCTCACATAGCAGTATGATACATCCTAATAATGATTGTACGTACCTTTCTATCGCGCTGCGAAAATTATATATATGAGTTCCAGTCAAGTCGTCAAGTTGTCAAGTTACTAACATGAGGTATATATACCGATCCAACGGTGTCCTTCATCTGAGATGTTGCACATTTTATTTAAGTCTATATAGATACTAACATTGGAATCATAATTTTAAATAACTCCAAATAGGCAAAGTACAATCATACATAGTATTACAGTAGAAGCTTTCATTGATTATCACTTCACCAATAATAAGCTTTTTAAGCAAGTACGTGTTAAATTAATAGATTGTTATTTTATTGATATGGAACGAACCGTAACAATTAGTATGGTTCACATATAGTGAATCTTTATACTTAATAACATCCATTATGTTCAAAGTAAATCTCTTGCAGATGTTATATATGGTCGTCTCACATAGCAATATGATACATCCTAATAATGAATGTACTTTTCTAGGGTAATCGTATACATGCCTCAATAGGAAAGTATGTAATTAAGTTCTTTAGGACCAAGATACAAGAACTCGCCTTATATCGCATTAACTTCTTTGTTGTCGGGCCAAATAACTTGAAAACTACGACATACAATCTGAGGCTGACATTTACACAGAGGACAGTGTGAGCGCTACTGTGTTAAAACACAAAATCAGAAAAAACTGTTAGAAAAATAAAAGAAACTGGAAAAAACAGAAGAGTTTAAGAAATATTCCGAGTCCACAATTTGCTTGTGTGTCCTTAAGGAATTTTAACCCCCTCACACGTTGCCAAGGTAATGGATTAAATCCTCCCAGGATAAAATGGAATAAACCTTCCTGCAACAGTGGCAATACAAACTGCAGGATACCAACGAACTTAAAGAACGGAGCAAAATCACGCTTACGAATTTGAGAGAGAGAGACTGCGAATTAGGATGCAGTATATTCAGAAAGAAAGAAGTTCTGGAGTGGTTTTAGTGTGTAGAAAATGGTGTCTTGCCTCAGAATTTATAGGCAATTATCAGAAGAGGTATCTGGAAAAGGTGCCCTTTCAGAAGAATACGCGGTCAGAGAGGCTCTCTGAATCAGCCTGCCGCGGTTCTACCGCGGTCGCGGCAGAACCGCGGCCAGAGAGGCCCTCTGAACCTTCAGCAGGGTTCTGGCGTATTTTCAGCAGTGATTTGGCATTTAATTAATTATTAAATAATTAAATAAATTTTGTCCAAAAATAATCTTATCGATCGATCATTTGACAAATCCAAATCCAAATCCAAAGCCGAAACCGAGCCGAGCGAGCGACGACGACGGCGCGAGGGTTCATTCTCTTCAACTCCTTTTAAGAGCTTTAAGAAGTGATTCTATATATAAGCACACAAATGTGATTTTCCCTCACCAATGAGGGACAAAGTGCAAGACAAAAGTTCACTTCTTCAAATTTTCAATTTCCCTCCATTTTATTTCCCTCCATTTCCAATTCACACTTCTTCTACTTTAAAGCCCAATGGCTTAAAGTCCAACAGACAGTTGTTGAGGTAACAACTGGCTCTTCATTTCATATGAAAATCTTTAACCTTTGTCCTTTTGATAAGCTAACAAGTCAATATCACGTGGATGAGGCAGAATTATCCAGTAATTCTTCACTTTTATTTTATTTTAATATTAGGTATTGTAAACTTTGAGATTAACTTTTATATTTGTAGATGTGATTGGTTAGGTTGTGATCTATGGAGCTGTTCAGACCTACAAGCAAGGAGATATTAAAAGTGTCTTTGTGAATGTTGAACTCGAAGATGAGCAGTAAGTCATTCACAAATACAAACTATACTTTTACAATATAACTACATATATTTTTGTTGATGAACAATTACCTTGAAACATATAGGAGGAACATGATTTCGGCAACCTCATGGGATGAACTTGTAGATGAAATTCAACCTCACTTAAATTAGATGAACCTTTGGTTGTTGTTTTACCTACTTATGAAAGCTCAAAATTTTTGAGGTTTACATATTTTACATCTACATTTGAAATTTAGTTTCAGAAAAATTTATAATTTCAAATTTTTATTTTTATACATAGGTAACTACTCAATGCGTAGCTGTTGGTACGCTTCCAAACTATGGATAAATTCTACTTTGCCACAATCTATTGAGTTTACATCTAGGTTTGTAAGGGTATAAATGTTGTATTTATTTGTGCAATTCACCTTATACATGCTTTTTACGTATATGTTGTACAACAATTAATGGAACTCTTTTAGAAGACATGACAGACGACAGTTAACATCAGCAACAATAAAAAGAAAATATCAACAATTTTTTCGATTTTCACTTGGTAGATATATTTGTAGATTCTACCATCATGCATATGATTAAAGAGCAGTGTATAGAGTTCATATAAATATTATATTTTGGTGTTTATTTTGTTTTAGCAGTTGCTACGAAGCTTAGTTTCGTAGTTGTAGCTTCACGATCCAACCTTAATAAAAGATATTAGGCGCTTGACAATGAATGTTAGATGTAATAGGCAGAAAACACAAGTGAATAAAGCAAACTTATAGGTAACATGTTTGTTAGTCAGTGACAACGATGCAGACAATGTTTTCATTCTTGCTATGCCGTTTCCAAGAGATGTCAAAAGTTTACAAATGCATAAAGGTAGAACCTATTGAACCTGTTGGGCACCTTCAGAGCATCCACACAAAAAAAATGCACGAGATTAACATTTTGTTCAGTAACCTGAAGTATTTGGTAAGACTGATATGATATTTCTTGGTTCACATAGCCTAAAGGGTCTAAGAAGTTGCTCCACTCATTTCAAGTCTTCATAAACTGTTCTTCATAACTCTAATTTTGAACAAACTGTAGCAATTGGTATAATTCACCTATGGTGAATCTTCATATTTAATAATATTCATTTTTTTTTTCAAAATATAATTTCTGCATATATCAGATATGGTCAGCTCCTTTACTCTATCATTTGCTTCTCCAAATCTAATAAGCTTTTGAATGTATTTAGATGGCAGTAACACCTGCTGAATACTACCACCAAATGCAAGACAATCATCTAGGTTCATGATGAATCCTTCTTCAATGTCCATGTTCATTAGCAGATAATACTGCAGGGATTCCGCGAACACAAATATGGTTGTTTAAGAGCAACTAAAATCTTGGCAGAGATGAGGAATACATTAGCGCTAATTGTTGTTCTGTGTATCAACTCTCCTAAGGATGGGTCAAAAGAACACGAAAATTTGTGGGTTGCTTTTGTAAGATAATCTTCCTGACTTTATCCTTTTCACATGATATTTATTAGATTTATTATCTTTGTCTATTCTTTAAAGTAAATAAAATTTATATTCTTCTATCCGACAGAAATATGATATTTCACATAGCAACCAGTTACGCTGCTTCCTTAGCTCAGATGACTTGGATGGGGTATTTGTTCCTGAACCTTATATGACTGAACTTTGAGGTACTTTCGTAGGATAGCTGGTTACTAACATCTTTCTCCTTGATGTAAGTAATTATTTACATGTGTTGAATTGAGCAGCTGGAGCAATTCATCCAAGATCTAGCGTCTAAACATATTATTTCTCACATGGAGCAAAAATTTGTCTTCTCAATCACCAAGTGCAAGACAATCAACTACATTCATGATGAATCCTTCTCCAACATCCAGGTTCATTAGGAGATGATACTGTAGGGACTCCACGGACACACAGAGGTGCAAAGAAAAATTCGTAAATTTCTCTATTCAAGGTTTATTCTCTTCAACTCTTGGAATGAGGTGATTACTTTTCAAATGTAAGAGAAATTTAGGTGGCCACAATCTGCCATTTCAGATTGTCATTCTAAAATGTGCATTGAGCAGTTACAAATAATTTTGCCAAAAGCCCTAAAAGGTTAAGGACCTCATATTGTGGCAAGGGGTATTAAGTTAATAATCTTGGAGCTTATCTCATGTGATTTTTTCTTATATTGTAAAATATTCCCTCAATATTGTTTTTCAATTCCTTGAGAGGCGATGATGACGAAATATTAAAATAATTGCAGGCTTTGCAGTCGTAGCTCTCAAAACATGTGATATATTACGTTAACATATATATTATTCTTCTTTTAATAACTAACAATCAAAGATCTATTCCCTCCATGATTGATGCTTTGATACTAGGTCAAAAGATATTTTATTCTTTGTATTTAAAAGGAACTTTGTTAATGTGTATCAAATATCTATTGCCTTTCTTACAAAGTTAATATATATGTCTTAGAATCTGAAGATGGCCGATAATGAAAAGTTTCATTATCTTCCTTAATAGCTTCTTTATAATGGATATGTGTGTTTTCTCATGACTTCAATGTATGAATATCCAATGCATTTATATGTTCAACAACTAATAGTATTTGAATGCTTATTTGTTTCTACCATATTTATCAAGTAATATTTTCTTATGAAAAATTATATTTAATATTTTCTGCGCAACGCGCGGGTACGGAACTAGTAATAATAATAATCTAGGCCATTAATACCGTTATTTGAGTGTGCCGCTCGTAGCCTCGTACATAATATAGCGCCTTTGCAGATATTCTTAATAGGGAAGCAAGCTTTTATTTGGTATGTCCCTCAAAATTTGTTCTCAACTAAAAATTCCCTATTTTTGAATATTTTAAAATAATATTTTAATATTTTAATGTTAAGAAACTAAGCTCAAAGTAATAATATAAAATAAGAAAATCTACAAGAGATGTAGAAAGAAAAGCGAGAACTTTCTTATTTCATCAAGTGTTTTTCAAGTTTATGCTACATGATTTCTAACATGTTATTTATCGGATTACATAAAGGCTTACAATAAGGTTTCTTTAATCATGATATTAACCATTTGGATCATGGGGGAGATCACGGGGATGGTTATAGAGGTGTGAAAGTTATAAGTATAAGTAGTGAAGTAACGAGAGTTATGTAAATAATAAAAAAGGCAGTGAGTATTACTCTTTTAGATGTTATAAACATCCATCATAATATAATATTCCATAATAGAACATTATGTAGTAGTAATATCTTAATTTGTCTGAAAAATTAATTTAAATTTCGCCTGAAGAGTAACATGAAGATTCAGATTTATAGCCTGTTTGGCCAAGCTTCTTTTTGGCCAAAAGTGTTTTTTTTTTTGGCCAAAAGCACTTTTGGCCAAAAATTGAGGTGTTTGGCCAAGTTTTTGGAAGGCAAAAAAGTGCTTTTGAGGATAAGCCAGAAGCAAGTTTTGGAAAAACAGAAAAAGTAGACTTCTCTCCAAAAGCACTTTTTGAGAAGTCACTTTGAGAAAATACACTTAGAAGTCAGTTTTTAAAGCTNAAAAGGAGTCGGGCGGGTAAAAATAAACGGGCCGTGGGTCGGGTTAATTAAGAAATTGGGTAGGGAATTTTGGGTCTGATTTGGGCTTAAGATTGAGGTTAATTTCAGGCTAAAATTGAAATGCAAAGGGCTAACTCTTAAATAGCCACTTTTTCCTTGTTTTAATTTATAAAAAAATAGCAAAATAATTTCTGGAAATAAATCAAATGTGATAAAATGATTAATGATACATAATTATCAAATTAAAAATACTGGAGTCAATTTTATAAATATAATTACAATTGAATCTTTAAAGAGGCTAGTATTGCAATTATATGCAATTTAGTTTTAAAAATACCAAATGAATTTGTAAAAATATGCAAAAGTCATGTTAGCTATGTTTTGATGTAAATATGAGAATAAAAATAAATCGTTCACCAAAATGGCAAATTTTGGGAATAATTATTGGATTTTATGGTATAAAAATAGGCAATAAATTGGTTTAAAAATCATCAAAAATATCAAAACTCATGGGTGTGCTTATATATGCACAAATATGCTATTTTGGAAGTATTTGGGTATGAAAAATACATAGGGAAAATTAGGTATCAACAGCTGCCCCTCTTTACCCGAGGAGGATGAAAGAGTTGTCGGGTAAAGACAAGATGGCTAATTTGACCGGAACGGCGATTGGAAAGACTTTGACCGAGCTCTGGTTTTATAGGAATCAGGCCGTACGTAGTTCAGGAACCATTGCAAGAGTATGTCGATGGAGATTCGAAAAG